TTTTTCAAAATTATTGAGAGACTTGTAAATTTATGGGTAGCAGTAATCCACTTGCTTATCCACAATTTAGTTTCGGCAAGTAAACATCCTTATAAATATTGTTCTGTAACAATATACACTGACTGATGCAAAATTGAAACTTGAACAAAATTCACACGTATTAAAAAGCATGCCAACCCTGGTCGATGTGCACACTTTACAAGATAACTTGCTTGAATATATATTGATCAATATACAAACTTAGACGATAAGTTCAAAGTTGAGTGAAATCCATGCCTAATTAATTAGCATACTGTACTCTGATTGGTCAATGGTTTTATGCCAAGTAACTTTGTTAGATAAGGCAAGGGTTGATATCTTATTCAACAACAAAGGCAAAGTTCAAAGATGTTCACAATCTGTGCATAATCTATTCAATGGTTTAAAATAATCAGGTATTGGTCAAAGGGGTAAATGCCAGTTTCAGTTTTTAATGTTCTATGAAATACATTGTATGGACAAAGGGAAGCAATTCCAAATTCCTATGCAAATTAATTATCCAAAGGTTTAAAATGATATATTCTAGAGGAAACTTGGTACCACTCTTCTGACAAACCTATAAAGATATACTGTACACACAAGAAGAATAACTTCACAGTGGTACACTTTTACATAAAACTTTGATTCATAACAAATTAACAGTAAATCCTTCTGTACAATATGATGGGAACTTCGTCTTTATTTTGTTCTCCATTCCAAAAATAATATATATATCTTTTGCCTTAGCTTTCAGTACTTTCAGTACTTTGATCTTAGCTGGTAGCCAATTTTGAGAAGTTCATATCTTTTGGTCTTGAGGTGGTCGGGTAAATCGGTACGAACAGTGATCTTTGAGGCTCTGTCAATATTTCTCGCGTTTTTTAGGACAAGATCTCTGTCTCTCATGCACACAAACCTCACTATAACTGTCTCGGGTCTAGTGTCTCTCTCCTCGCGATCGTTTCGAGTGTTTTCTGATGTTTTGCGTCGAGGTACCCTATGGGTGTTATGTATTATGATCTTTTCAACGATCTTCCCGTCAATTTTCATACCGGTACACATAAGTTCCCGAATTTGTAGTTCCGTCGCTTTGCCATCATCTGGAAGACCAAATATCAAAACATTATATTTCCTACTTCTACCGTCCTGGTATTTTTGTTGGTTCTCAAGATATTCAATCTTTTCCATTAGTTCTTGCTTTACTTTCAGTAGTTCGACCACATTACTCTGCATTTCGTCAAATTTGTCTGAGCAAAAATCCGCTGACTGCTTCATCTCGTAAACCGCATTTTTCATCGTGTCAACTTCGTCGTCAACTTTCTGTTCGAGTTTGTTCATTCTGTGCTCACATTGTTCTACAGTAGCATTGAAAGTGTCAATTTTTGCGTTTACTTCTCCTATTTTGTTACATAATTTGCTATCAAGAGCTGTAATAAGTTCTTTCAAATCCTTGAACTGCTTGAGCTGCTCGTCCGCCATCTTGGTTTCTGTCTGTTCTACAGTGCACGTGGCCGAGTTTTTTCTAGTGAAATACGAGTGTATGGGCTGTTTCGACGCCTCTTTAGTGCTTTTTGCGCCTCCTCGTCCTTTCCCAGGTCCCCTGGACATTCCCTGCTGCAACTCACAACATGGGGGATGGAGAGAAAATGGGTGAAGGGGAACCAGTTTTGTATAAACCGTAGGTCTGGCCCCCCTGGGGGCTGAGGGGCATGGCCAAACGGGGAAATAAAAGAAATTCTTTAAAATCCTTCTTCTTCTGTAGGAAGGAAAGGATTTGTTCCATATTTGGTCTGAAGCATCCTTGGGAGAAGGGGAACCAATTTTGTATAAACCGTGGGTCTGGCCCCCCTGGGGGCTGAGGGGCAGGGCCCAATAGGGGAAATATAGCAAATTCATTAAATTCCTTCTTGTTCTGTAGGAATGAAAGGATTTGGTCCATATTTAGTCTAAAGCATTCTTGGGGGAAGGGGGACAAATTTTGTCTAAATGGTGGGTCTGGCCTCCCTGGGGGCTGAGGGGCAGGGCCCAATAGGGGAAATATAGCAAATTCTTTAAAATCCTTCTTCTTCTGTAGGAATGAAAGGATTTGTTCCATATTTGGTCTGAAGCATTCTTGGGTGAAGGGGAACAAGTTTTGTATCAACCGTAGGTCTGGCCCCCCTTGGGGCTGAGGGGCATGGCCATTCGGGGAAATATATCAAATTCTTTAAAATCCTTATTCTGTAGGAATGAAAGGATTTGGTCCATATTTCGTCTGAAGCATCCTTGGGTGAAGGGGAACCAATTTTGTATAAACCATGATTCTGGCCCCCCTGGGGGCTGAGGGGCGGGGCCAAATAGGAGAAATATAGCAAATTCATTAAATTCCTTTTTGTTCTGTAGGAATGAAAGGATTTGGTCCATATTTGGTCTAAAGCATTCTTGGGGGAAGGGGGACACATTTTGTGTAAATGGTGGGTTTGGCCCCCCTGGGGGCTGAGGGGCAGGGCCCAATAGGGGAAATATAGCAAATTCTTTAAAATCCTTCTTCTTCTGTAGGAATGAAAGGATTTGTTCCATATTTAGTCTGAAGCATTCTTGGGTGAAGGGGAACCAATTTTATATAAACCGTAGGTCTGGCCCCCCTGTGTGCTGAGGGGCATGGCCAAACGGGGAAATAAAACAAATTCTTTAAAATCCTTCTTCTTCTGTAGGAATTAAAGGATTTGTTCCATATTTGGTCTGGAGCATCCTTGGGAGAAGGGGAACCAATTTTGTATAAACCATGGGTGTGGCCCCCCAGGGGCCTGAGGGGCGGGGTCCAATAGGGGAAATATAGGTAAAACCTTTATAATCCGTCTTCTACCATAGGGATTTAAAGGTATATTATCCTAATTTAGTCTGGAGCATCCTTAGGCAAAAGGGACTCAATTTTGTATAATTGGTGGGTATGACCCCCGTTAGTTGCATATAGGGGTGGGGCTCTGTTTGAAGTTTGTTCTCGCTATATCTCAAGTACTGGATGGATCTTTCTGAAATTTCATATGTACTTACAGCACCTACTTCATACCAATTATTTTAAACATATTCAGGTGAGCGATACTGGCCCTCTGGGCCTCTTGTTATTAGATGTTTTGTTTATTCCTTTTGCTTTTAATAAGGAAACATTTATCTTCGGTATATGTGATCAAACCAGAACTCGATACATGGTAGATAACCAAATTATTCTTATTATAAAATATTATGTTTTTAAAGCAAGATGCCTAGAAAAAGCTCTATCAGTAAATGGCCTTATAAACTGTGTAAAAGAGACTTATGAGATACAGAAATATATTGTGAATGGGAAAGATGAAAAACATAGACATACCTTCTAAAAAGACTGGGAAAAGTGGCAAAACCTTTTTGATATCCCATAAAAACACTCAATTTCATGATTTATATGTAGAAAACCAATTAAGTGGTAACAGTAATAGATAGGAATACTCTAAGTATATTGAGCTGATATAATACTACTGTTACTGTACGATCGACAGGTTAATGTGATAAATTATTCTTTTGTAACTAATCTCCATCCTCTCAACCCCCTCTCTCTCTCTCTCTCCCTATCCACATCTCTCTCTCTCTCTTTTTCTCTCTGTCTATCTCTCTCTGTCTCTGTCTCTGTCTCTCTCTCTCTCTCTCTCTCTCTATCTTGTTTTCTTTTCTTTTCATATTTCTTAATTCAAATGACTATCATTTGTGTATTGTGTGTGTGTGTGTGTGTGTATGGGGGAGTGTAAGTTTGAGCGAATGCCTGAGTATATTTTTTTTGGTAATTTGATCAAGGACATGGAATAACTCACTTTGAAGCTGTGTATGTACATGTGAATTGATGTATACAACAACTAAGTGAGGGATTTTAAATTTGTAAAATGGTTGTAAATCAGGAATGATGATGATATCATTATGAATTAATGATGATGATGATAATAATATGTTGATGAAGATACATATAGAATGATGAATGAAGATTATAATTGAAGATGATGATTGTATGATGATGGTGCAATGATGATGATTGAATAATTATATATGAAAGAGGATGATGAAGATGATAAAGATGAATGATGATGATGATGATATGTTGATGATGATATTATGATGACAATGAAATTGATTGTGATAATGCTAAATCCATGTCCGTGTGTGTATATGTGAGAATGCCTGAATGTCCTGTTTATGTATATGTAATGAAAAACTTGGAAAAATAAAACCATTACAAAAAAAACAACCCATTATCCTTGTGTAAAATGTTTTATTATCATAGGGGTCAAATGTGTTAAAAACCTTCAAATAAACAAGAGGTTTAGGGTGATGTTATTTAGTCTGAGCATATTGGAATGAATGGCTATCAAGTTTGATCAAATGAATGATCTTTATCCACTTTCAAGGTAACAGGTCAAATGTGTTTAAATCAGAGGCCTATGGTTATGATATTTGGCATGTAGCTTAATTAGTTGTTAAAAGTGATATGAAGTGTTGAATGAATGACCTAAACTAATCAGATTAGTTAAATAAGGGTTTTCCAACAAAAGTGTATAAGGTGAAGAATAAAAACTTTCAACATAGACACACAATAAGTATTCATACATGCCAAATGAATAACAGACAAGGAATCCAGTCCCATTCTGCCTCTTGTTGCGAGTTTTGCAAGATCACTTGTAAAATGTAAGCCACGTCTTGTGTTTTGTTTCAGATTGTTTACCCAAAGTCTGATGGGCAACGAAAGAGGCTGAGTGAAGCAGTGCATCACATTCTTCTCTTCAGATCCCTAGATGTTGTAAGTACACATTCTTGAACAATCTTTGGAACCACATACATTCATGATCATAGAGAATCTGCCGAACAGACATCAAGAGCATAGAGAATCTACCACACAAACTCAATGAAAAATCTACCACACGGACATCACGATCTACCACACAAACATCATGATCAAAGAGAACCTACCTGAGTACCAAACAAACATCCATGATTTTAGAAAATCTACCACACAAACATCCATGATAATTAATTGTTTTTGCTCCGTTTCTTATTATTAGGGCTTTTCACCAACTGGTTAAAAGACCTATTGTTTTTAGCTCACCTGGCCCGAAGGGCTAAGTGAGCTTATGCCGTGGTGCTGCGTCCGTCGTCAGTCTGTCAATCCGTCGTACGGCGTCAATATTTTACTTTAAACAACTTCTTCTCAATAACCAAAAGCCTCAGGGTACTGATATTGGGCCTGTAGCATGCTGGGATAAGGACTGCCAAGTTTATTCAAATTAATGACCTTGACCCACTTTCAACGTCACAGGGGTCAAATGTCTTAAAATTTCAAACGACTTCTCAATAACCAATAGGCCCAGGGTACCGATAATTGGCCTGTATTATACTGAGATGAAGGGCTACCAAGTTTGTTCAAATGAATGACCTTGACCCACTTTCAAGGTCACAGGGATCAAATGTCTTAAAATCTTCAAACAACTTCTTCTCAATAACCAAAAGCATCAGGGTACTGATATTGGGCCTGTAGCATGCTGGAATGAGGACTGCCAAGTTTGTCCAAATTAATGACCTTGACCCACTTTCAAGGTCACAGGGGTCAAATGGCTTTACATCTTCAAACAACTTCTTCTCAATAACCAAAAGGCCCAGGGTACTGATATTGGGCATTTAGCATGCTTTGATTAAGGGCTACCAAGTTTGTTCAAATGAATGACCTTGACCCACTTTCAAGGTCACATGGATCAAATGTCGTAAAATCTTTAAACAACTTCTTCTCAATGACCAAAAGGCCCAGGGTGTTGATATTGGGCATGTAGTATGCTGGGATGAAGTGCTACCAAGTTTGTTCAAATGAATGACCTTGACCTACTTTCAAGGTCACAGGGTTGAAATGTCTTAAAAGCTTCAAACAACTTCTTCTCAATAACCAAAAGGCCCAGGGTACTGATATTTGGCAAGTAACATGCTGGGATGAAGGACTACCAAGTTTGTTCAAATGAATGACCTAGACATACATTCAAGGTCACAGGGGTCAAATATGTTAAAAACCTTAAAACAACCTCTTAATAAGCAAATGGGTTGGAAAACTATAAACTCTGTTCAACCTTATGTCTTTGTTCGACGTTCAAGGTCACAGGCGTCATATGTTTAAATCTTTCAATAGGTTCTTATAATCAAATACTGATATGCTGCCTGTAGCTGTATTTCAGTCCACTTTTTAGATAACAAGTGTGAGATTAATGCCAGGTGAGCGATGCAGGCCCATTGGGCTTATTGTTGTTATGTTTTAAGCTCACCTGGCCCGAAGGGCCAAGTGAGCTTATGCCGTGGTGTGTTGTCCGTCGTCAATATTTTACTTTAAACAACTTCTTCGGAATAACCAAGAGGCCCAGGGTACTGATATTTGGCCAGTAGCATGCTGGGATGAAATGCTACCAAGTTTGTTCAAATGAATGACCTTGACCCAGTTTCAAGGTCACAGGGGTCAAATGTCTTAAAATCTTCAAACAACTTCTCAATAGCCAATAGGTTCAGGGTACTGATATTGGGCCTGTAGCATGCTGGGATGAGGACTGCCAAGTTTGTCAAAATTAATGACCTTGACCCACTTTCAAGGTCACAGGGGTCTAATGGCTTTACATCTTCAAACAACTTCTTCTCAATTACCAAAAGGCCCAGGGTGCTGATATTTGGCATTTAGCATGCTTTGATGAAGGGCTACCAAGTTCGTTCAAATGAATGACCTTCACCCATATTCAAGGTCACACGGGTCAAATATGTTAAAAACTTTAAACAACTTCTCAATAACCACAATGCCCAGGGTGATGATTTTTAGCCAGTAGCTAGCTGAGATGAAGGGCTACAAAGTTTGTTCAAATGAATAACCTTCACCCATATTCAAGGTCACAGGGGTCAAATATGTTAAAATCTTCAAACAACTTATTCTGAATAACCAAAAGGCCAAGGGTACTCATATTGGGCCTGTAGCATGCTAGGATAAAGGGCTACCATGTTTGTTCAAGTGAATGACCTTGACCCTCTTTCAAGGTCACAGGGGTCAAATGTCCTGAACTTTTCAACGAACTTAATAACCTTTTCGAAAAGCCACGGGTACTAATATTAAGCCTCTAGCATGCTGTTATGAAGGGCTACCCAGTTTTTTCAAATGAAAGACCTTGACCCACTTTCAAGGTCACAGGGGTCAAATGTCATTAAATCTTCAAACAACTTCTTCTCAATAACCAAAATTGCCCAGTACTGATATTGGGCCTGTACCATGCTGGGATGAAGGGCTTCCCAGTTTGTTCAAATGAATGACCTTGACCTGCTTTCAAGGTCACAGGAGTCAAATGTCTTAAAATCTTCAAACAACTTCTTCTCATTAACCAAAAGGCCTAGGGTACTGAGGTAGCAGAATACAGTAGAAATGGCCCGACTCTGATAAACAAGGCACATGTCGAGGAAATGTAAACACAGCGGTTTTACCCTACACAACACACGTATACATGTATATATATTTGTAATTTGCATTACATTTACAATACATATAAAGCACTGAGAAGTGTATAAACCTCTTTTTTCTATGTATGTCACTTGTGTGAAAACCATGGTTACCACATCAAAAATTACCAAAAAATGCCAAAAAATGCTATTTTTAACCCAAAATTTGACCCCCGCAAGTAGTAATTTTTTTCCTAAGCTCTGTCTGAAATTAAAGATTACCTACCTGGTTGCAGAATTATCTGGGTCGCAGTAAAATTGTAGAACTTGATTTTTTGCAATTTTGCGTCGTGTGCTGTTGTCAAAATTTTACCTCCTGTAAAGCTAGCTTTTCATGTGTACGCACCCTTTCGTATTATGGCCAAAATTTTATTCTCGAACCAAAGAAATCTTCTTTCTTTTTTACAAATGTGAAGCTCACATAGCCCACTTCATCATGCTTATACCAATTTTAGTACAGTTTTATTTTTATATTTTTTTTACATATCATTATACAGGGGTTAGCCATTTAACAAAAATATCACCCATGGCCACAACCCTCTACTGTACTCTGCTACCTGATATTTGGCTTGTAGCATACTGGGATGAAGGGCTACCAAGTTTGTTCAAATGAAGGACCTTGTCCCTCTTTCAAGGTCACAGGGGTCAACTGTCTTAAAATCTTCAAACAACTTCTTCTGAATAACCAAAAGGCCCAGGGTACTGATATTGGGCCTGTAGCATGCTGAGATGAAGGGCTACCAAGTTTGTTCAATTGAATGACCTTAACCAACTTGAGGTCATTTTCATTTGCAAATAAATGTTAAATCGTATTCAATATATGCAAAAACAAGCTGCCAACGTCAAAATATGTTTCCTTACTTAAAGATTTTGTGCTTTATCTATTAATTTAGATCACAGGGTTACAAGTTTGAGATAAAGACCTGGTGAGAAATGAAGGCCCATTGGGCCTCTTGTTTATATTACAAATTATTTAAACCTTTTTTTTTTCCTTTCAGGAACAGATGCAGGAAGTATTAGATGCCATGTTTGAAAAGAAGGTAAGCTAATTGATTGCAGAATTGTACACAAAACCAGATGATTATGATGCCAGACAGATGACTCCTTGAAACTTTCACAAAACAATTAAAAGGAGACAATATCATATGCAACCAGCCTTCATAGAAACTGTGAAGCTTAAGAAGGCTCCCCACTTTCACAATAAACCAGCAAAATTCATTGAAACTTTCACAAAATGGTTGGGCAACTATGTAGAATTGATTTGATGAATATCTTAGCATTTCGTTAATTTGACTTTTTAGCTGAAAGGGCCAAGTTTGCTTATGCCGTGGTGTGGTGTCCATCATCCGCCCAGCGTCAACATCAAACAACTTCTTCTGAATCACTAAAAGGTCCAAACCTTTAAACTAAAAGGTTTAAACCTTTAAACAACTTCTCCTGAATAACCAAAAGGCTCAGGATGTCGTCGGAAACACTGACTTTGGACATCATTCAATTTATGTCTTTGTTGGGGAATCTTTATTTCTGAAGTATGTGTTATTACACATTTTTAAAGGACGAAGTGCCAAGTGAGCTTATGCCGTGGCGCGGCCTATATATCGTCCATCCGTTGTCCGTCCGTCCGTCGTCGGTCCGTCGTCCGGCGTCAGTATTTTACTTTAAACGACGACTTCTTAATAACCAAAAGGTCTAGGGTGATGATATTTGGCCAGAAGCAAACTGGGATGAAGGGCTACAAAGTTTGTTCAAATTAATGACCGTCACCCATTTTCAAGGTCACAGGGGTCAAATATGTTAAAAACTTCTTCTACTCGATGACCAAACTGCCCAGGGAGATGATATTTGGCCAGTAGCATGCTTGGCTGAAGGTCTACCAAGTTTGTTCAAATGAATGACCTTCAGTTATTAGCTCACCTGCCTGAAGGGCAACTGAGCTTATGTTATGGTGCGGCATCCGGCGTCCGGCGTCCGTCTGTCCGGCGTCCGGCGTCCGTCTGTCCGGCGTCAACTTTTTGCTTTAAACAACTTCTTTTCAATAACCAAAAGGCCTAGGTAGATGATATTTGGCCAGTAACATGCTGGGATCAAGGGCTACCAAGTTTGTTCAAATAAATGACCTTGGTTTATATTCAAGGTCACAGGGGTCAAATATGTTTTAAACCTTTCAACAACTTCTTCTGAATAACCAAGAGGCCTAGGGTGATGATATTTGGCCAGTAACATGCTGGGATCAAGGGCTACCAAGTTTGTTCAAATGAATGACCTTGACCCACTTTCAAGGTCACTGGGGTCAGATGTCTTAAATCTTCAAACAACTTCTTCTGAATAACCAAAAGGCCCAGTGTATTGATATCGGGCCTGTAACATGCTGGGATGAAGGGCTACCAAGTTTGTTCAAATAAATGACCTTGACCAACTTTCAAGGTCACAGGGATCAGATGTCTTAAATCTTCAAACAACTTCTTTTCAATAACCAAAAGGCCCAGTGTACTGATATTGGGCCTGTAGCATGCTGGGATGAAGGGCTACCAAGTTTGTTCAAATAAATGACCTTGACCGACTTTCAAGGTCACAGGGGTTGAAATATGTTAAAATCTTCAAACAACTTCTTCTCAATAACCAAAAGGCCCAGGGTACTGATATTAGGCCTGTAGCATGCTGGGATGAAGGGCTACCAAGTTTGTTCAAATGAATGACCTTGACCCACTTTCAAGGTCA